AGAGAGAGAGAGAGAGAGAGAGAGAGAGGGCTGCAGCAGAGCTCAGGCCCAAGGACAAAGGGGGCAGGGCAGGCATACCGTGCTCAGTCCCCTTTCTGCTTTGACATTTGGTCACGTAACAACGTCACCAGCCTCCGCCCTCTTCTGCTGGTCCTCAAGGAGGCCAGGCCTCTACACTCTCAGGCTTGGGGACAGTTTATTCACCAGGTGTCCCATTCCTTTTGTTTCTCCTACTTCTTCTTACACTTAAAATAAGTTTATAAACGTCTTTAAAATCATTTTAACATTCATTACCGGAGCATTGGGAATTCATGAAGAATCTCAAAAATAAAACAGAAACTTCCAAGTACAAAATAGAAACTCAGGTGCTTTTATTACCATTTTATTTTATGAGCATAAAGATACAGTTTTTTTAGAGTTGTCATATTTAAAATTTGGTTCTTACTTTTCTCAGTGATTATTGTATCATAAGAAAATATTGATTTTATGCCTTTTTCACGAACATTCTAAAGAATCACAAATGTTCCTGAATATGTCAGTTATAATGAATTTAACTACTTCTTTTGTTGAACAAATAGATTATTTCTTTATCTTCTATGGCATAAGTATTGTTTATTTGAGCTTCTTTGTATATACAAGGATTATTTTTTCAGGATAGATTTCTATAAATAGAGTTATTTGTATAATGATACACTATGCATTTTAAAGGCCCCTGTGCTTTTCTATTCCAATGTAATTTTAAAAAACCTTTTTATTGTGGTAAAATAGGAATTGTACAAAATTTATCACTTCTGTTAGTTACTTTTCTTCTTTCTTGTGACTAAATACCTGGCAGGAAGCAACTAAAGGAGAAATACTTTGTTTTGGCTCCAGCTTCATGGTGGTGGCTGGTTTTCTGGCAGTGGGAGCCAGAGACTGCTTGTTCACATCTCAGTAGACCAGGAGGCAGCACACAACAGGAAGTGGGGCAGGACTGTAAACCCTGAAGCCTACCCCTTGCTGGTCTGTTTCCTCTAGCTAGACCTCACCACTCAAAGGCCCCACAACCTCAAAACAGCACCACCAGCTGGCGATTAAGTATGCAAATACACAAGCCTGACGGCATTTTCATCCAAACTGTGGTACCACCTTACAAGTGCACAATTCAGTGGCATCAAGCACATCCACACTGTCGAGCAACACTGAGCTGGTATTATCGCCATCCATTGCTTTCATCTTCTCACAGCGATCCTCTGTTCCCTCAGGTGCTAGCTGCCCCTCTCCTGCCTCTTGTCTCGTGCCATGTTCAACTCTCCTGGAGAGCCAAGCTCATTCACTCCCCCTCATTCATCAGTCTCCTGCATTGCCATTGTTTAGGACTTCCAGGGGGAGAGGAGCAAGTGAGAAGTCCCGTGTGGATGAACTTGGTGCCTGGATGGGTGGCAGAAGACCCCAGATGGGGGCTGGAAGGCTGCCAAGTACTGCAGGTGGGAAGCTTGGATTTTGATGGCTAATGTTTGGGGGACAGCTCTTGGAGCTCATGGAGGAGGGGACCTCTGGGGAGGGGAAGGTAGTCATTTGAGTGGAATGGACTAGATCAGGAAGAGCATGTAGAGTTACCAAGAGTAGAGACTTCACTCTGGAGGATTGGGTGCTGCAGAGGGTCATCAACCATGCTGTTTTAGGGATTCAGTGTGTGGGTTACACATTGACTGTTTATATAGCAGGTGTCTATGAACTTAGTATACCACAACAGCACACGTGTATTACTTCAGTTCCCTGTGTCTTGGCTCAGTTTGCTTTGTCACAGTGCTATGGGCTATGGCTGTCACGCACAGGCATTTATTTCTCACAGTTCCAGGGTGGAGACTGAGTGGCCACAGGAGTGGGTTTTGATGAGGTGTGCTTCCCTATTCACACAGCTGTCTTCTCTCCAGGTCTTCACACAGTCAAAAGTGAATGAACTTCTGTTTTCTGTGCCATATGGGCATCACTCCCATTCAAGGGGCTCCTCTCCTGTGATCAGCCACCTCCCAAAGCCCCTCCTAATACCACTACAGCAGGGCTAGCAGTCCAAATGGATTTTATGGGACACTGTCTTCATCTACTGCAGGATAGTGGGGTCCTCTGCAAAGCTGCCAAAAGACCAGGAAAAAAGTGGCCTTGTAAAACAGAGAACCACTAAATAGCAATATTCCTGCCCTAACCAAGTACCAAGGAAAACCATGGCCCACACTCAACATATCATGCTGAATAAGCAACTGGGCTTCCACCCACAGGCCTCTGATGCCCTCAGTTGGTGGGAACACAAATCTGAATGGGAGAAGGACTGGCTCCTGCTACAGCTGGCAGTGAATCCTAAGGTGTCAAACCTGGGATTGCATGATCCCATGGAAGTACCAAGGTGCCCTTCACTGTCCCCACTGGGGTGCTGTCCTAGGAGGCCTCATAGAGAGTCAGGATGTTTACCATTACCTCAGAGTGATTAAGCCATTCCCACTGTGGTGACAGGAGACCTAGAGAGATGTTAGTTAACTCTCTCCATTCCAGTAGTAATAGATGCTCCATCTCTCAGGTGTCAATAAGAAACAGAGAGAGAGAGAGAGAGAGAGAGAGAGAGAGAGAGAGAAAGTATATGTTGAAAATAAAAATATAGAAAATGGATATCATCCAAACTTACTGAAAGAAAGTCTGCATGACTGTTGGGTAACGTAAACTTCACTTCAAAGACATTTAGCAAGGACTGAGGGACATTGCAGTATGATTAAAAACCCAGCCATGCAAATGTAGTAATATTTAACATATGTGTGTCAAACAACATAGCTGCAAAATGTGTGACATGAAACCTGATGGACTTAAGCAACAAATCAGCAAACCCATCACTGGGTTCAAGATCACTGAAGAATTCAATATCTCCCACTCAGTTGTGAAAATAACCAGGTGTGAAATTGATAAGGATGGAGAACACACCAGGGTCAGCACTGGCTGGATCGGACCACACTTTACAGAACACACCACCAGACAGCAGCAGAAGGCACACTGGAGTCAAGCCTCACAAACGTATATTTAGATAGACCACATCCATGGCATATAGCAAACCTCAAGAAAAAGAATCAAAGTCACAGAGTATTTTGTCTGCCTACATGGAATTGAACTAGAAATCACTAGCAGGAAGGTAACTGTAAGCTCTGTCAACTGTGGGAAACTAACAACACACTTGAATTTGGCCAAAGAGGAAATCACAGAGGAAATTAAAAAAAAAAAAGAAAATGAGAATTGAACGAAAATACAACATATTGAAATTTAGAGTAGAGCACAACATCCAAAACAAAACAAAGGAGACAGCAATGATAAAAAGTAAAGTCCGTGTCACTGAAAATAGAAAAACAGTGAAAGAAAGAGCTGGCTCTTCGGAAAGACTAATAAAGTTGACAAAACTCTGGAAAGAATGGTAAAAGTATTAACAAAAACCCAATTCCCAAATCATAAATGGAACAAGATACACCGCAGACATCAAAAGGAGGGCAGAGGGATTATTGGAACAACTTCACACGTACATCTGACAACTTAGATGGAATGGACCAATTCCTTGAAAAACACAAACTACCACAACTCACCCTGTATGAAGCAGATCCTTTGAAAAGCCCTATGACTATTAAAGAAATGGAATTCATAACTTAAAAACTTCCCCCAAAGAAATACAGAGTCTCAGATGGTTTCAGTGGAGAATCTTACAAAATGTTTAAAGTGGAATTAATGCCAATACTACATAATCTCTTCCAGAAAACAGCCCAGGGGGAAATACTTGCTAGTTCATTTTGTGAGGCTATTATTACCAACACCAGAAAGATAGCACACACACACACACACAAAAACAAACACAGACCAATATTCCTCATGAGTATAGATGTGAAATTCCTTAACAAAGTATAATCTAACAGAATTCAACATATAAACAGAATTATAAACTATGAACCAGGGAATTTTAATGCAGGGATACAAGACTAACTTAATATTTAAAAAACTAGGAATATAATCTACTATACTAATACGTGGGGAAGAAAAAGAAAGATAATATGAACAGAT